CTCTCTCTGACCCTCCCCTGCTCATGCTGTCTCTCTCTCAGAAATAAATAAAGCATTAAAAAAATTAAAAAAAAAAAAAAAAAAGCAAGCATTAACTTCCTCCCTGACACTCCCGTTCCAAGCTTGTTTTAATCAAAAACTGCTACTAGAAATGGTCAGGTGTCTATTAGTAGCAGTGTAAACTGGTGCTATCTCTTTGGAATGCAATTTAGAAATATTAGAAATGCAATAAATAAAATAATAATTCTATTTATACAAATATATGCCCAAGAAGTAATTTGAAGCTAAGGACAAAAATCTTTATGCAGTTATTCAATACATATTATCCACAGTGGCAAAAATAACCACTGTGACATTACCACATGCTTATGGTAATCTAATACTGTTTTTTTATAATGTGGAAAAATTCTTATAAAGTGAAAAAATAGAAATTTCTAACTATAGTAATATCTCAAAATAAATAAACCCTTAGAAAATATTCAAAACATCCTGAAATGGGGGCGCCTGGGTGGCTTAGTCGGTTAAGCGTCCGACTTTCGCTTAGGTCATGATCTCGCGGTTCGTGGGTTCGAGCCCCGCGTCGGGCTCTGTGCTGACTGCCAGTGCGGAGCCTGGAGCCTGTTTCAGTCTGTGACTCCCTCTCTCTCTGACCCTCCCCTGCTCACGCTGTCTCTCTCTCTCTCTCTTCTAGAAATGCATAAAAAACATTAAAAAAAAAAAAAAAAAAATCCTGAAATGTATCTAGCTGTGGGAATTATGTATTCTCTATACTTTTATTTTCTATTTGAAAAATAGCATGTTATTTTTATATCAGAAAAATAAAGGGTTAAAAAAATACATAGTTGACTTGACAAAAAGTGATAATATGAGAATGACTAAATTTTTTTATGTGAGAGTATCAGAATATCTTAAGACTTCATTAAAGAAATCACATGTAACTATTTGAATGGATAAGGTATGATTAGTGAATAAGAACTACATTTTATATCTTAACTTCATTTTATTGTTTTCCCAATTGTTGTCCCAAGTTATTTGGCCATGCTGTGTTACCTACATTAAATCTAGGTCCTAGAATAATGCAAAAAATCCCCCCATTAAATTGGTGATTATGGCTCAGACTTAATGGTGAAGGCACCAGTCTGCTCATGGATGGCATCCATTTCAGTGTTTCACAAAGTGTCTTTTACAGACCATTCACTGCTTAGTATTATTATCATTGTTAGAAGAAAAGGGGTCTGCCATAATTGTTTAGGAAGCACTACGTTCAAGTTAAATATGCCTCTATTCTACATGATTTCTCAGAGCTGTCATCAGCTAATATGCACTGTGAATCTTCAAGGTGAGAGAAAGCACAGGTTTTGATGATGCTAGAAAACAACCTGGACCTTCTGGGACCTATATAACACATTTTATGAAATGCTGTTCTAGTTATATGATCTGATTTTGTATTTCACTGCAAGAACCTGATTGGGTCATGGTGAGAGGTCAGATCAGTCCCAAGACTATACCTAAGTTATATACTTGAATGGACCTAGCTTTTAGATAATTTCTTGGCTTTGCAGCAATTTCTTTAGTTCAGAACTGTGAGAGTAATCATTGTAATTTCAGTTACCTGGATAACATTATAGCCTCTAAAAATTAAAGTATGTTACATCATTATTCCTATTATTCATTTAAGAAATATTTGAACATGTTCTATGTGTTAGAAACTGGAGATACATAGGGTGAGGTGGCAGACAGGGTCCTGACCCTCACTCTAGCAGAGAATATAGTCATGTGTATAATTACGTGGGTTATGAGACCTAAGGAGGGGGAGAACAAAGTGCTAAGATGAGAAGGACACAGTGACCTAACCCAGTAGAGGCTACAGCCAGGGAGAGGTTTATAACACAGAAGAGCATTTTCACAGCAGGGAACAGCATAAGAAGAGTAGAGTCTGCGAGGGAGAAATGAATGAGGCAATGGAAGGAAATGAGAGGAGGATGGAAAGATAGGTAGCATAAATTAAGAAACGGTTTTGTTTTTTTTCTTTAAATCTTCAGGTCACTGAACAGCCAATTAAGAGTTTTAAACAGAAGTTAAGAGAATCAAATTCGTGGTTTTTTTTTTTTATTTTTTTTATTTTACAGAGAGACAGAGGGTGCACGAGTAGGGGAGAGGGGCAGAGGGATATAGAGAATCCTAAGCAGGCTCCTTGCACAGGGCTCAATCCCACAAACCTGGGATCATGAGCTGGGCCGAAATCAAGAGTCCAATGCTCTACTGACTGAGCCACGTAGGCGTCCCAACAGAGCACTGTGACCTAGTGAGGAATGGATATGAAATCAAGGTGGAAGTGGGGAGACTTGTTAGGAAGAGGTTAGTATAGTAGTCTGGATCTACACCAGATAAAACACTTCTGAGATACATTTACTGCAAAATCAACAGAATTCGATGATGATTAGATGTGAAGACATTGTAGAGGATGAATCTCAATTTTTAGCTAAAGTATTTTTATGGTTATTTCTGACTGCTGAGTGTGAGTGCCCGCACTATCTTATACTTTCTCTTGTCCAATATTCATTGGAATTACTTGAAAACTTTCCTTAACATTATTAAACACATAATAGAAAATAAATTATTGATGATGACTAATTTCTTTAAAGTCCAGTAGAGGTATTAGACAGGTTCTTTACATTAAAATAAATAAGGTAGAAACAAATAATTAGATACCATGTGTTACAGGAATTTATACAGTTAAGTAAAATCTGGGATGGTGAAAAATTCAGAGGAAGTGATGAACCCATGACCTGGTTCTTAAAAGTGACATGGAACTGACAAATAGGGGACTTAAAGAGAAAGACACATTAATCTTTCTCTTTCTTTTTATTAAAGAAATAAAAGTATGAGAGTGGGAATGGGTAGTTTAGTAGGCAATGAGCAAACATTTGTGGTTAAAGAAGAACATTTCTTCCAAAGTAGTAAATATGGAGCTGGGCAGAAAATGGAAGACTCTGAATGCCAAGAATGGTGTCCAACAGAAATACAAAGAGGACCACAAATTAATTTTACGTTTTCTAGTTGCCACATAAAACCATTACACTCAAAATAATACTTCAGTATTTCAACAATATAAAAGATAGATTATAAACTCTTTAAAAAAAAAAACAAAAAAAAAACATGGTAAGCCTCTGAAACGGAGTGTGTATTTCACACTGAAAGCACATTTTAATTTGGAGTTGCCACAAAAGGCACAGTAGCTACATAAGGCTAGGGACTACAATTTCAGGACAGCACAGTTCTAGACAGTACAGAATTACTACAGATTTCTAAGCAAGGTATGGTTCACAAAGTACTATTTTACTTAAGTAAAACTTATACATTTTACTAGAAAACTATTTTGGGACTAGATGGAGGAAGAAAGAGAGTGAAGGCAGATCAGTGAATTTTCCAATACTCTAGGTCTGCAGACTTGAAATGCTTGAAAATCAAGGAGGAATGAAGATTTGAAAAAAAAGATTTCAAGAGAAGATTTGAAAGATTTAAAAATGTTTGAGAGCATTAGTTCTGAGGGACACATGAGAAGGAAAACATTAAAGATTCAGAGAATCTGGAAGGTAAACTATTTTGCCAAGTGCCTTTGGAATCCTTTTAGTAATTATTAGGCCTTTATTTACTTGAGTAGCTGCTCAGTATTTTCCCAGTACATATAACAGTTGTCAAATCAGATGTGATAAACCTCAAAAGTGCATTAGTGTACATACCCACAAATATTAATTTGTGCTTTACTTTTTTAAATTTTTTAATGTTTTATTTACTTATTATGTTTTATAATGCTTTATTTCTGAGAGAGAGAGAGACAGTGTGAGCAGGGGAGGGTCAGAGAGAGAGGGAGATACAGAATCTGAAGCAGGCTTCAGGCTCTGAGCTAGCTGTCAGCACAAAGCCTGACACGGGGCTCAAACTCACGAACTGTGAGATCATGACCCGAGCCCAAGTGGGATGCTTAACCGACTGAGCCACCCAGGCGCCCCAATTTATTTTTGACAGAAAGAGACAGAGGATGAACAGGAATGGGGCAGAGAGAGAATAGGGCACAGAGTCTGAAGCAGGCTCCAGGTGCTGAGCTGTCAGCACAGAGCCCGATGTGGAGCTCAAACCCATGAACTGTGAGATCATTACCTGAGCCGAAGTTGAATGCTCAACTGACTGAGCCACCCAGGCGCCCCTAATTTGTGCTTTTCAATCAATAGGAAAATACCATATAAATTAACTAGCTTTAGTTCTATAATTCTATACCTGAACTTATATTGTGTCCACAAATATCCAAATACTATACTTTCATCATTAGGTCCCACCTCTTTATAAGATCTGAGGAATATTATTATTACTATTAGATTATTATCTTAGGTACTAAGTGCCAGGAATGAGTGAGCTTGGTTAGCAAGGTATTATCAGAAATGTTAAGACTGTAATTATTCAGCTTTACTGTGGCTGTTCTAAGTGCTGTTCTTGGCTCTACTGAGGGTGTCCATTTGCAGAAGTGGTTTAATCTGGTTCTTCAAACATTTGTACCAGAATGTAAAACCTATGTTGGGAAAGATGAAACAGATGACTCCATACCCTGCAGCCAAGCCCAGACTATATCTATCGCCAAGAATACCATGTATATTAGAAAAAGCTAAAAATAGTCATGGTGAAGTTTCTTTCACTCAGTCCAACTTGGCTATACAATCAGGACCTTAAAATGGCTTTGGAAGCTTAGAATTTCTGGTCAGACAGAGGAAATATAAAATACAAAGCTAGAGGTTTTACAGGAAAGACTTATTAACTGTAAAACACTGGTTCTTAGGTGTTTTTTTGTGATTCACTACACCTAAGGGAGAGAACACACTCCAAATCAATGTTTGGTTCACTGAGAAGTGCCCATACTCAACCACTCCTTACTAGGAGAAATCAGTGCTGTAAGCAAATACTTTTCTCAAATTCACATGAGAAATAAAATAATACTCTATACAAACCTCATCCAGAGTTTCTTCAGACTTGGTTTCTTTGGGTTTATCTTCATTAAGCTTCACATTTTTCACCTGCTCAGACACTTTACTTATACTTTCAGTACCCTTGAAACGCTGTAAGGAAAATACTCTAATGTTTACCATATTCAGGAGAGGTCAAAAACTAGAAGGGAACATCTATATTTTCAACCTTTCAAATGAATAAACATCTGCACCATGATTATAGGCTACATAATTCAAATGTAAATAAATGAAATGGCTTAAGAAAAATCTTAATTTTAATCAATAAATTATGATCCTGATTAGCATTGATTAGTTTGATTAGCATTTTAATCAACAAATATGACCCTCAAAGTATCTTACAATATAAATTCTGAAATCAAAGCTTTAGAAAGGCCAACTCAGACTCAAATATGAATACCATTCACACAGCTCCTTAACAATGACTCTGTGCTTTGTCATTTCAGAATAAAATGAAATACCAGAGAATTTAAAATTTGTTTTTCTAAAGTCTCAGCCTAAATCTGAGATTTTAAATTCATAAATGAAATGGAACTTACTTTGGATTTTAACCTTTCAGTGTGCTTACTTGTCTGAATTTAAACTATAGGGAATTATTTTTAAGAATTTGGTTCCTTAAAATACTAAAACATCTTTCCATACTACAGATGAGCTTTGCTAGATTTGACAGCTAGTCTACTTATGATTAGAGTTAAGAAAAACTGCAGGTGGAAAAACTTAAAACATATTTTGCAAATAAATTTAAAACTTCTTTTTGCAAATAAAATATCTAAAATATTATTTTGGTAATAAAATGTAACAATACTCACCTTACTTTCAAAAAGATGGTTATAGGCTGTAACCAAATGGTCCTTGTTAGCTGTCTTGGCCACGTTTTTAATGTTTCCTAATAACTTATGTTCTGCAAGAAACTATAAAAAGGAAAGCTGCTTAGAATAATTTCCCTCACGTAATAAGGGTCTAAATGTTAGAAAATGACCTTTTATGTTAGCAATTATGCCTTCAATAGAAATACTAATGACAGAAATGAAATAAACATATTTATGTCCTACTTCATAACAAGATTTATGGAAGATTAAAAATATTGAGTATTTATAAAAATTGACAAGAGTGGAACTGTAACTCACCCTTTTCCTTCCCATTAAGGAACTCACAGAACATTTATACAGCAAGTACACTCTGGTGACTGGACAATGCCACTGGCCATGGCCCTGGGAGCCTCAAACCATGTTGGGCATAGCTATCTTGACAAATCTGTAACCCATTGTTAGCACCCTGGGAAGCATGGTTAGCCAATGCTGGATATAGAGTGGTTAAGTATGTGGGCTGAGGAGTCAGATCATCAAGGGAGTAAGCCTTCCTAAAGATGCCATTTCTGTATCAGAGTGGAAGATTAATAACAGCATCTATGTCAGAAGGTTGTTCTAAGGACAAATGCAACAACCCATTTAATGCATTTTACATACAGCCTGTCACATGGTCAGAACTCAATAAATATCAGCTATTGGGACTAATGACATAATGTGCTTAATAATTCAAAGTAATAGAATTCCATTTGTCTCAAATAAAAGACTAAACTGGCAGACAGACACCAAAATACTACTACTGAATACTGAATCATCAAAATGTAACTTCATCTCAAAATCATGTCTTTGTTTTCCTTATTTTATTCTGCTTTCTTTTCTGCCTTCTGGTCCTTGAATCTTCATTTTGCTACTTTCTTGAAGTTGTCCTCTAGCATCTTCTTTTGATAAGGCAGCTTTTCTAATACTATCACTATTGTATTTTTTTTCCTCCTGTGTTCCTCTCTCCCTCTTAGAGAAATGTTATAAACGATAAGTGGATGGGGAAAGGCTATTTTGATTAAATGGAAGTAATCAGCTGCTTCAGCATTCTTGTGATTTCTTTAGCAAGATTACAAAAAAAAATCCAAAATATAAACATCTCCTTGATATCTTATGATTAATAGAACAGTGACTGATTAAAGGATGTGAATGAAAAGTGGAGAAAATGGACTCAAAAGGTTAATACATGAAAAAATATTCTGATAATTCCAGTCTCTTGAAATTGTCTCACGTGGGCCAGTTTTACATTAGAATTCACATTGGGATGACTGGTTCTGTAAGAATTTGATGAAGTACAGTACTGAGGCATTAAATGTTAATGAATGATAGGCCTAGTTTATTCTGATGTTCCATTTGAAATATGAACTGACTTCAGAGAAAATAATTCCACTAAAATGGCGTGGTCTTTCTTTTTATACTGTATCCCCGATAGTGAGCACAGTTCTTGCTATAGATGTATAAATATTTGCTGATGTCAGTTAACTTATGGGTGTATGGAACTGGAAGCTAGAGAGTAACTATTTCCTCTTCAAGACACCTGAAAATGAAAATAAACCAGAGTCCTCACAGAAGAACCCCAAAATAAATTTTTAATGCAAGTTTAGAACTTAAAAAATTGTAGAGAAACCATACTGCTGCTTCTGTTTGTCATAAGTGAGGGGATGCAGCGTGCATAAATTACACAGTAGTTCAGCAGTTTAAGAAAGGCATGAATGATACTAATTTCCAGGGTGAAAAAAGTTTGACAAAAAAAATCCCAAAAAACAAACAAACCAAAACAAAAAACACTTGTGACCACAGTCGGGTGGTTAAGATGGAGACTATATTGAAAAATGCAGCGTGTACAGTATAAAGAATGCCAAATACATTTCTTAGTTGGTTTGTAACAATGGGAGACCCTACCCTAAATGCGTATGTAACGCCCCTAAGTATAAAGGGTGAAAAGGTCATGTGAATAGTCGGTATTTTTAAAAGGTAAACCGCAATCTACAGAGTTTTAAAAATTACGCGCACTACTGTTCAGTATTTAGTAACTGATGAGAACAGCAAATCGCACATACCGTTCCCACAAAAATCTTCACAATCCTTCCCATTTCCCTAATAGCCTACACTCCCCTGCAAGCGTCTCATCCAGGTCCTCGGTCCTCAGACACCCGTCCCATCCCCCAGTATTTCCTGGGTTCTTTCTTTTCCACGGTTTCCACCCTCACTCAACAGGCCCAAGGAGGTCCTAATTATGCGATTGCTGCCTGCCAGCCCCCCGAAATAAAGCCGTTCCCCCCGCCGCAACCGGGCAGCCCGGAAAGGCGGGAGCATGGCTGCCCTGCGCACGCGAGGCCTCTCCGGCCTTCCAGGCCACCGACCGCGGGAGGACGAGGGCGGGGGCACGGAGGAATACGGAATGTACAGGCATCTCCGGGGGGGTGAGGCGTCCCTTAGCAGCACCAGCCCGGCCGCCCCGCCGCCTCTGGTACCGAATCTGAACCGTGGTCCTGCAGAAACTTGATAATGTCCTTCTTGGGTAGCTGCTCGCTGCGCAGCTGCTCCACGGTCCAGGCCCGCTGTGGAACGGCCGCCGCCATCTTCCCCCGCTGCCTCTGCTTTACTGAGCCAGCCCGCCTCGCTTCAGCATCGCCCCGCCCCCGGGGCGTGGCGCGGACTCCGCCTGGAGCTCGAGGGGGCGGGGTCACTCGCTACCAGCCGGGATTGGGGCCTGTCCTTGAGTGACGTCAAGGCTGTTCTTTGAGGGCTTCTTTGTAGAGTCCAGGTATAAACCCGCTGAAGTGTTCCTTGGGGCGGACTACGCAGATGACCTAAAACTGTCATGTGCTCTTAACTGGAACCATTGTGAGGTGATCATCGTTGGTAGTGATTTTTATTTACCAGCCATTACTCCCATTTGTGTATTAACGACGGACTGCTGTGTCTTTAGTCTGTATGTTACGTGCTTCAAGAAAACAACGGCATTCAGAATCTAATCTCATTCCATCTCGTTTTAGCCTAATAATTCACACCTGATTGGCTCAGTCCTTGTCCATTAGAACATATGCCCCACCATCTCCCTTTTAAAACAAATTAAACGAATACAACTTTTCTCTTTCCCCGCCCAAGAAATAAAAAACGCACGAAAAAGTTTGTCTAAAAGCAAGTTCAAGAAACTTGAGCAAATAAAACGATATTAAGAAGCTACATGCAGAATGCTGCTTGCTGATGATGAGGTGACATTAATGTTCAAAATAGCCTCATGATATGTGTGTGTACTTTTTCTCAACGCACGAGGAAACAAATTTACAGAGGTTACTCCAAGTTGCCAAGGTTTAGAGTGGAGAAGTCGGGAATCGTATCCAAGTCTGAGGTAGAAAGCTATTGCTAGAATAGAATAGTACCACACCGACGCTTACTGCTACGTATCATTTATGAAGATGTAATGGTAGAGTATCCAGAAAGCCTCATTTTTTTCTTTCAGATTTCCCAACGAATACAGGACCAAACCATTTGCCTCTCTCTTAATAAAACTGTTAACATAATGGGTTGCCTCTCCAAATACTGTGAAAAAGAGACATCTCATCTTACTTAAAACTACAACCAACAAGGAATAAGGAATGTTAGACACTCAAAAACGTTAAATTTACAAAATATGGGTATCCGTTGTTCCTAGTATCTCAAGGTTATTTATTTTTATCATTTTAAGCACTATCACTTCAGCAAGGAGGCCCGTACGCAGTCTTCCGGGACGGAACTTAGATTTAGAGTCTGTAAAGAGACTGAACTGCGGATCAAATTTAGAGTAACTCCTTAACAATGCGCATGCGTCTCCACGAGGCCGCGAGGGTTTCCGGGAAGTCAGCCAATCATATTTCCAATGCAAACTCAGTGGCGGTAGTTTCAACTAGGTGAACCAGCTGCAGTTCCGGCTTCACGTTCCACTGTTTTGTGCGAAGGTAACCAATGGGGAGCCGAACGGTGGTTGAGCTGCTGCAACTGCTAGCGTCCGAGAGAAGCGTTTGGTGGTTGTCGGCCTAATGAGCGGACGGCAAAAAACGCTTTTCCAGACGTGGGGCTCAAGTTTTTCTCGATCCGCTGGGGCTACGGGTTGCAACTCTGGACCTGAGCGACCTCAGAGCCCCGGCATCTCCAGGGCATGTTGTCCTCCAGCGGCAGAGGGTACAGAGGTTCCTCCGGAGTCGGACGATGATGTATTGCTGGTTGCAGTGTACGAGGCAGAGCGGCAGCTGAGTCTAGAGAATGGCGGTTTCTGCACCTCAGCGGGCGCCCTATGGATTTACCCTACTAATTGCCCAGTGCGGGACTACCAGCTGCATATTGCCCGGACCTCTCTGTTCTGCAACACGCTGGTGTGTCTGCCCACTGGATTGGGGAAGACCTTTATTGCCGCCGTGGTCATGTACAATTTCTACCGCTGGTTTCCTTCCGGGAAGGTGGTCTTCATGGCCCCAACGAAACCTTTGGTGACACAACAGATCGAGGCTTGCTACCGAGTGATGGGTATCCCGCAGTCCCACATGGCCGAAATGACAGGTATTTTTGAAAGAATGGGCTAATTTGAAATTAAGAGCACGCTTTCTGGTGGAAATGGAACTAAAGGAATTCCTGACCCATTTGGAATAGTCCCCAGATCACAATATCCATATTTTTTGCATACTCTCCCTTAAAACATTATCTACTTGTAGCAAGTCTAGCCCTAACGAAAGGGTTCCTTTACTCAATTTGCAGAGACTTCTGGTAGTTGGTCGGAAGATTTTGAAGTTTGTGTGTGTATACCCCATTAGTAAGTGAACATGAGGTTTTCTGACTTTTTTCCCCAGAAAGATTTCCCAGTTGAAGAATTTACTTCTCTGCAGCTATTATGCCATTTTGTTAAGAATTCTCTAAAGACAGGCTAGTTTTTGTTTGTTTTAGTCAGCATTGTCATTTGGATCACAGAAGAGTTTATAATGTAACATTTCCATTATTTTTAAAATTGTTTTGTCTGAAGGCAGATTACCAAGCAGGGCTGCGTTCTGAAATTAGGCCAGATTGTTTATAGATATTTTAAGGATAACAGCCTTGGTGTTTAGAATGTAGGATGTTACTTTTGTTTACAGGATCTACTCAAGCTTTAACCAGGAAGGAAATGTGGCAGAGTAAGAGAGTCCTTTTTCTTACACCTCAAGTCATGGTAAATGATCTTTCTCGGGGAGCTTGTCCGGCTGCTGAAATAAAGTGTCTAGTTATTGATGAAGCTCATAAAGCTCTTGGAAACTATGCTTATTGCCAGGTAATATTTTGTTTAAAAGTATTTTGTACTGTGAATGTATTGTTGAAGAGTATTTTGGTGAATACTTATTAATGAAAGTTATTGATTGTGTTATCATTATGAAAAAAACTCATTATTTCAGAATAGATGATGATAGGATATACTTCATTCAAATCAGTGGCTCTACTGTCTTTTTTTTTTTTTTAAGTCCTTGACAAGACCATTAGTGTCAGGTGTAGATGATGAAAGCCTAGTTCTGACTGAGGCAGTGATCCAAAAAAGGGTATGTGTGGAGTTTTGGAACTAAGATAATAATCCAAAGATTGGTAGCAGATATGCAGTATCATTCCCTGGCAGCTAAGTAAAATCATACTTAACTGTCAAGAGTTGTTACCAAGATTGATTGACACAATGTATGGGACATATCTAATGGAGTGCTTTCAGTTTAAGTACTACATGAAGATAAATTACAAAGGTGGAGAGGTGGGATACGGCTGGAGAGGTATTTTATGTTTAGCGGTTTGAATGCTGTTTGTAGGACACTGGGGATAAAGGTAGTGGAGACTCATTGAAAAGCGTTTACCTGGGGTAATGCTTAAGATTTAAAAAAGATTAGAAGATCGAAGACTAAAAGCAGAGAGTGTAATGAGGGAGAGGAGCAATTTAGGCTGACTCCCACGTTTCTAACTTGGAAGATTATGCTTCAGTTTTGGAGACACAGAAGATTTTGGGTATTGTGGAAAGATGAGTGCAGTTTTAGATTGTGGAGTTTGAAGTCTCTGTGAGGAATGTAGCTATTGATGCCAATGGGCAGTGTGGGATAGAAATATGAATCTCAGTGGGGAGTTCTGAGCTGGAGATACAGATCTGGAGATCACCAACATATAGGTGGTAGGTAGTTAAAACTATAAGCTGGTGATATCAGGGAGAAGGTATAGAGTAAGAATAGAAGGGAAAGTTGATTTTATTTAGTGCAAAGAGATGAATCTCACTGCCAGTTTGTGAATTTGTAGTTTCCTTGGGGACTTTAAATGTTATTGTATTGTATCTCTTTGTTATCTTCTGAAGAGAATAATCCTCTTTCTTAGAGTTTTTTTAAAGCAGGAAATGGATATATATATGTATATATAAATTAATATCTTTCCAAGTTAATATCTAATGTGTTAATGTTTCTACTTGAAAGGAGCATTTAAAATTTTTTAATTTAAATCTGAATCTGTTTTGCGGATTTAGCTTATACTTAGCAACTTTAACTCATTTGTTTTCAAAAAATTTCTAGCATTGTTGATTTTTTTTAATTACAAGGTTTATGCTTTTATTGAGTATAATGAGACATGCACTCACTTGATTAACATCCAAATAGCCTTTTGTGTTTATGGTGTATTGAATATTATAGATATAGAGTCCAGTAGGCACACCCAAGTTCATGAAGAATGTAGCTTCCTGGGTTACAAACACAGTACCATTTCCTTTTCTACAAAATGCTTGAGAATCCTGCTTGCAGAAAAATAATGTATTAGGGACATTTTTGTCTTGCATCAGTTTTTACTTAGGACAGTTCTACATTAAGTATAACGTTCTATCTTTGTATGTATTCTGTATCATATTAAAAAGAATATTTTTTGAGATCAGTCCAAATTCAGTATCTCATTGAATTCATCCTTGCCATGGGTTGAAATAAGAGAAGCTTTTAGATAATATGGTTTTACTGTTTCCTCAATCTAATGTGGAACTCTGGAGTACTGAGAGCTCTTCCTGCAGTTCAGTTTACTTAGGGGTCCTTTTGCCTATGTTGGGGCCTCCTGTGAAGGGGCGTATGGGAATCTGGTGAAATATCCAATATTAATCATAACAGAAGTGAGTGTTGAATTCATACTGCAAAGTCTAGAGTGATACTTTGGTGCCACTGAGAAAATGTGTTAGAATTTAAAAGGAAAGTTGGGTTTTTAAAGTTTTTTCCTAAAACATTTTTTTCCATTTCAAATCTAATTTCATACTGGTATTTCTTTTTTTCCCTTTTTTATGTTATGACTTATCTTAATCTGGTAAGTGTGCATATGAATATATCTATAAGGCTAAGCTGTGGCCCAAACAACAGGGAATAAACTCCCCTTCTTTCATATGCCCTTGAATTAGCTCTCAGAGTATTTTGATTTGCCTCTCCAGGTTGACATTGTAGCTTTATGTATATAAGAATTGCTAAAGTGTTTTTGATTGATGTACAGTATGAATTTGAATGATTTGCTTTTCAGATAACGTGACTAATAATAGTTCCATCCCTTAGCCCATCAATACCCTGAATAAAGAATAATGATAATGGAACATTGGAACAATATAATACCTTGCTTAACAGAATCACTGTTATTTTTGTATTGGATAGATGAAATTTAAAACTTTTTTTTTTTTTTTTAAGGTTGTAAGAGAACTAGTCAAATACACAATTCACTTTAGAATCTTGGGTCTTAGTGCTACACCAGGTAGTGATATAAAGGTAAGTAAAATGTCTTTCCATTTATTAACATTTGAGAACATAAGAACTTTTGTATAGGACCAGATCAGTTTGCCATTCTAGTATTTATTTTGACATCAAGACTACATTCACGGGTGCCTGGATGGCTCAGTTGGTTAAGCATCCAACTTTGGCTCAGGTCTTGATCTCAGGGTTGGTGAGTTCGAGCCCCACATTGGGCTCTGTGCTGACATTTCAGAGCCTGGAGCTCTGTCTCTGAGCTAGCTGTCAGCACAGAGCCCGACACGGGGCTCGAACCCACGAAGCGTGAGATCATGACCTGAACCGAAGTCGGACGCCTAACCGACTGAGCCACCCAGGCACCCCATGAATTCTTTATCCTAATTTTTTTTGTTGGAGTCTTTAATGTTATTTCAACTTTTTAAAAATATTTATTTATTTATTTTGAAGGGGAAATAGAGAGTTGTGGACACATGAGCACTACCAGGGGAGGGGAAAAGAGGGGGAGGGAGAATCCTGAGCAGGCTCCACGGTGTTCTAGGGCTCGACCTCACTAACCATGAGATCATGACATGAGCTGAAATCAAGATTCGCTTAACTGACCTGCCCCTTTCTTTGAACTCTTGATCACACTGTCAGTACTGGAGTTCATGTTTTTGCTCCTCTTCCCTAATTTTACAATTAATTTTTTGTATAAGTTTTAGGTGAAGATAATTTAGAAGTACAGTATATCCAGAAATATATTTACATCATATATATTGATTTAAATGGAAAATACTCTACTAATTTATCAATAATTGATTTAGTGTAGTATGTACCCTATACCCTCAATCTCTTAACAAGTTAATTTATAAAGTATTTCTAAGATACATTTGTGTCCTTTAAGAGTAACAAGACTCTATTCCCACCCCCCGACAGCACACAAAAATCAATGGAAAAAAGTATTTGACAGGGAACAAGGAAATCTGGGTTGCAGTTCTGGCTCTAAAATTGACTGTTACATAATGTTTTAGTGATTTAGTTTGCTAACCTAAAACTTCTGTTTTCATAAGATATAGATGAGTCTTTATAAGATGTAGATGGAAAGAATATATCATTGCCATTGAAAAGTGCAAAATATGTTTTAGGAACTAGTTGGACGTTTACTAATATTCTTATTTCTTGGATCCTTGGTTGGAAAGGCTGCATAAAAGAATGGTGTTTTGAAGCCATATCCTCCTGTTGTACCTCTATTATAGTTTAAAAAAAGGTTTAAGGATATGAATTCTAATATTTTAAAATTTTACCGCTATTTTTGTTGTAGGTAACCTGAACTTAAAATTTAACATATAATCATACTTGTTTTGTGTAGGCTGTTCAACAGGTTATTACTAACCTACGAATTGGGCAGATAGAACTTCGTTCTGAAGATTCTCCAGATATTTTGCCATACTCTCATGAAAGACGAGTTGAAAAGCTGGTTGTTCCCCTTGGTGAAGAACTTGTAGCCATCCAAAAGGCATATATCCAGGCAAGATATTTTTATCACTATTCAGGGTTTTAGTAAACAAACTGAGAATGTATTTTATTTTGTAGAATCTGCCCATGAGCATATATAGTTATATCATTTTATATCATTAGTATGTTGAAAAATTCTTTGAAATTACAGTTTTTGGTATGAGTACCATGTTTTGTTAGTTGCTATTAGTTAAAGAGGAAATACAAAATGATGGACCATTTCTAAAGCCAATAACAGCCTTGTTTTTTAAAATACACCCGTTAAAACACATACACACACACACGCACACACACAGCAGAACGTAGAAAACCTAAGTGTATAGCTCAGTGAATTTTCACATAGCAAACATACTTATAATTCATGTCCAGATTTAACCAGAAGCTTCTTTATAAGAAAATATATTTTTTCAATATTTTTTCCTGGATCCAATATTTTCTTGCTGCATCCCTTATACAACAATAATTCTCAACTAGAGGCAGTTTTGCCCATCTGGTGACATTTGGCAATGTCTTGACACATTTTTAAGTGTCATAACTAGGAAGGGTAGAGAGTGGAGTTGCTAGTAGAACTCACTATGTAGAGACTAAGAATGCTGCTTAACATTCTGCAATGAACAGGATAGTCCCCCACCACAAAGCATTATCTGGGCCAAATGTCAGTATTGCAGTGACTGAGAAATTGCTCAGACAGTTAGTTATCACTTCCATTGGGAAAAATTTGATGTAACACCTTGTTCATAATTAGTGTCATGCTAAGAGAACATTTTGTCTTCATATCTCCCTTGTTGTGGATTAAAGATGCCTGCAAATTTTTCCCACTCCTCCCATGGAGAGATAAGATGCATTTCCTTTTCCCTCCAATCTAGACTGGCTCTGTGACTCACTTTCACAAACAGAATGTGATAAACCCTAAGTAAGTCACGATGAAACTCAGTTAAGCCATGTTCAGGAGAAAGGAGGAACCAGTAGATAGCTAGAATAGAAGGCGCAAACATATGGCCCCAGTGGAGGTATATTAACACTTAACCTCCAGCTATTTGAGGCTCTGGACATCAAAGAGCAGAGATTAGCTGTCTCTTCAGTGCTGTGAGAGAATTTTTGATTTTTAACATTTTATTTTACAATAGTTTTAAATTTTCAGGAAATATGCACAAATAGTATAGAGATTTCCAGTGTGGAAGCTACTCAGATATCCTGTTTCTTAACATACTATGCCCTCTAATCTTAGCATGCAATGATGGTTCTTGCCTGCTACAGTTATTTCTATTATGTTTGCATAATACTTCATTAAATATGTCTTGTGTCCCAGCCATAGAATCAACCATTTCTCCAAGAAATTCTTGTTCCTTTTATGAGAGAGTGGTATTTTGAAACCATGATCAGTGTGTTAGATGTGCTCATTGTTATTGTGGCGTCTTGACCTGAACACTTAGTGACCTGCTTGAATTCTTTTTTATTTTTTTTTGAAGTTTTATTATTTATTTATTCATTTAATTTGAGTGTGGGAGGAGCAAAGAGAGAATCCCCAGGAGGCTCCTTTCCACCAGCACAGAGCCTGACATGGGGCTCTATCCCATGAATCGTGAGATCGTGACCTGATCCAAAATCAAGAGTTTGATCCTTATCTGACCAAGCCACCCAGGTTCTACTGCTTGAATTCTTACCTGAAGAATTAGAACCATGAGCAAATAAAATGGTTGGTTTCTTTTTATTAAAAGATTTTTTTTTAAGTATTTATTTATTTTGAGAGAAAGTGCACATGCACATGAGCACAAGCTGGGGAGGGGCAGAGAGAAAGGGAGAGAGAATCCCAAGCAGGCTCCACAGTGTCAACACAGAGCTCAGTGTGGGGCTTGAACTCATGAAATGTGAGACCATGATCTGAGCTGAAACTTAAGAATCAGATGCTTTACCAACTGAGCCACCCAGGTGCCCCAGTTGTTTTAATTTATGATGCTTTTAAGTACTTCATTATGCAGAAGTAGATAACCAAAATATTCATCATTTAACCTTTAATTAGTCTTTTTTAAAAAAAATTTTTAACATATATTTATTTTTGAGAGGCAGAGTATGAGCAGGGGAGGGACAGAGAGAGAGGGAGTTACAGAATTCAAAGCAGGCTCCAGACTCTGATCTTTCAGCACAGAGACCGATGCGGGTCTCGAACCCACAAACTGCTGGATCATGACCTGAACTGAAGTTGGCCGCTTAACCAACTGAGCCATCCAGGCGCCCCTAATTAGTCTTTCTTAAAGAAAAGTTCTATAGGAATATAGTTAATGTTTTGTTTTCAAATTATTTACAACAAAATTCTAAGCATTACTAATTTAAGATATGACAAAGTATTTCCAGTAATCATCTTTTTTTCATTTTAACTTTTTAACAAAAATTTAATTTTTTTTTTTTTTACATTTATTTTTGAGAAACAGAGCATGAGTGGGGAAGGCGCAGAGAAAGAGGGAGACAAAGAATCTGAAGCAGGCTCCGGGATCTGAGCTGTCAGCGGGTCACTAACTTGTGAACTACAAGATCATGACCTGAGCTGAAGTTGGCTGCTTAACCAACTGAGCCACCCAGGCACCCCTTTATTTTAACTTTAAAAAAATATATATTTATTTATTTTTGAGGGTGGGGAAGGGCAGAGAAGGAGGGAGACAGAGAATCACAAGCAGAGGATTCGAACTCATAACTGTGAGATCATGAACCAAGCCAAAATCAAGAATCTGATGCTTAACTGGCTGTGCCACCCCAGTGCCCCTCATCCTTTTTAACTAAAAAAAATTATTAAAATTAGTTGGCATAAAGTGTCAGAGTAGTTTCAGGTATACAACATAGTGCTCTGACAAGTTTATGTTATGCTATGCTCACCACAAGTGTAGTTACCATCTCTCACCGTGCAATGTTACTACATCATTGACTGTGTTACTTATGCTGAGCTTTTATTCTTGTGGCTTACTCATTTTATAACTAGAAGTCTGTATGTCTCAGTCCCCTTCACCTATTTGCCCATCCTCCCAAACTCATCCCCTCTGACAACCATCACTTTTTCTCCGTAGCTATAGGTCTGATTCTACTTTTTAAATAATGCTTATTCATTTATTTTGAGAGAGAGTGCTAGCAGGAGAGGGGCGAAGAGAGAGGGAGAGAGAGAATCCCAAGCTACTCTGACAGTGCAGAGCCTGACACATGGCTTGAACTCACCAACTGTGAGATCATGACCTGAGCCAAAATTGAGTCGGATGCTTAACTGACTGAGACACTCAGGTGCCTCAGATTCAGCTTTTTATTTGTTTATTCATTTATGTTTTTTTAGATTCCACATATGAGTTAAACCTTATGGTATATGTCTTTCTCTGTCTCACTCACTTCACTTATCATAAACTCCTCTAGGTCTATCCATGTTGCAAATGGCATGATTTCGTTCTTTTTTTAAAAAATATGTAATATTCCATTGTATGTATATTTGTGTGTGTGTGTGTGTGTGTATACACATATATATATATGCACACACACCACAACTCCCTTATCCATTTGCCTACTGATGGACACTTGGGTTGCTTCCATATCTTGGCTATTGTAAATAGTACTAGAATAAACATAAGGGTACATATATCTTTTAAAATTAGTGTTTTTATTTTCTTTGGGTAAATACATAGTAGTGGAATTATTAGGTCATGTAGTAGTTCTATTTTTAATTTTTTGAGGAACCTCCATACTGCTTTCCATAGTGGCTGTACCAACTTATATTCACAGTAAAAGTGTACAAGGGTTCCTTTTTTTTTTTTTTTTGCATCCTTGCCAACACTTGTTATTTCTTGTTTTGTTGATTTTAGTCATTCTGACATGTGAAAGGTGACATCTCATTGTTGTTTTGATTTGCATTTCCCTGAACATCTTATGGCTGTTGGTCATCGGTATATCTTCTTTGGAAGAATGTCTATTCAGGTCCTTGGCCCATTTTTTAAATTGGATTTTTTTTTGGTGTTAGGTTGTATAAGTTGTTTATATATTTTGGATATTGACCCCTTATTGGAAATATTATTTGCAAAAATATCTTCTCACATTCAGTGGGTTGGTTTTTCATTTTGTTGATCGTTTCCTTTGCAGTGCAGAAGCTTTTTATTTTTTAAATTTATGTGTTTTATTTATTTTTTAAATAAACTCTTTGCCCACATGTGGCTTGAACTGATGACCCCAAATTCAAGAGTTGCATGGTGTACCCAACTGAGCCATCCAGGAGCCCCCCGAAGCTTTTTATTTCATGTAATAATCATTTCCTTTATGATTGGAGCCCCCAGAAGCTTTTTGTTTCATGTAATAATCATTTCCTTTATATTACATTTTGTCATGATTAAAATCATTCCATTTATAATCTAAAAATTACAATTTTTGAAAACATAATACACATTTAATTTTGTCATTTTTAGAGTGCTTCTGTTGGTAGTATGATCAGCAAAACTGGAAGGGAGGAAAAACAAAACTCTACTAAGTTAGCCCTATTTTAGGAAATATGAATTAGGCAAAAGTTTAGACTGTTAATTAAATATTGCTGTAGTAAGTCTTCATCTGGAGGTCTCTGTTTTGCTTCACTCTGCCATCAAACTCATTTCCTCCATCAGGACCTTTCGAATGTTATTTCCTCTGGCTGGTATGCTCTATCCTCAAAACCTGTCATCATTCAGATGTCAGTTCCAATAGTACCTCTTCAGAGAGACTCTTTGTTTACCTTTCCCTCAAAAACTCTACAGTATTATTGTGTTTTAGGTTCTTAAGTACATTTATGTCTTTGTTTACTCTTTATTCTTTGGTTCTCTTCATCGAATATAAACTTTTATGAAAGTAGTGATATTGTTTGTCTCCGCTACAAATTTTCAAGCGTTAGAACAATGCTTGATGTATACTAGGTGCTTAATAAATATTTCTTGAATGAATGAATCAACAAATCACATTGAATGTATTCAAGACCCTTTGATTTAGTCAGCAATACTACAAATATTTACCTGTATGCCTGACTTTGTTCTTCATATTGAGATGCAACAGTGAGATATCAAAAGCCCTCCATTAATTGTGCGTAGATTATAGTGTGTGTGGGTTGGGGAAGTAGAAGACTTAAGAAATACACAGATAAACACATATGTCTTGTTTTTTATAAATTTTTTTTTTAATGTTTATTTTTGAGAGAGAGAGAGAAAGAGAGAGTGTAAACAGGGGAGGGGAGAGAGGGGCAGAGAGAGGGAGACACAGAATCCAAAGCAAGCTCCAGGCTCTGAGCTGTCAGCACAGAGCCTGACGTGGGGCTTAAACCCACCAGTAAGCTTGTGACCTGAGCCAAAGTCGGATGCTTAACCAAATGAGCCACCCAGGTGCCTCTTGAAAAAGGACTTTAAGTTAAGCTTAAACTAAATTTCATTGAAATTTGCAGGTTTTGGAAGCATTTGCCAGTTCTTTGATTCAGAGGAATGTTTTGATGAGAAGGGATATCCCTAATCTAACAAAATACCAGATAATTTTGGCAAGAGATCAATTTAGGAAAAACCCATCTCCAAATATTGTGGTAGGTATTTTTAAATGAATTTTGAAGAGATTAAGTTTTAGTGTTAAGATAAAATGTAAATATTGATTATTTTCTTGGTATATATTAGCTCATCAAGAATTCAGATATGATTTCTGTAGTTCATAAGAGCATGAAAAAAATCTAGCAAGAATGCACCTTAATGCTTTGAGTTAATTTTATCTTCTAACTTTTAATAAAGACTTGGTATTTTAGTTCATTTCTGTGTTGCGAAACCAGTGCTATGAGAGGATAGATTCTAACTAACTTGTAGACCTAGAGCATTTAGTCTTAACTCTTGCTACCAGAGGTTGGAGGAAGTATCATAGTAAGTTTCTTATTTCTAATCTTCTTAGGGAAAAAACAGATGGATAGGAACATACTCATCAAGCTAGGTCCAAAGTTAGAAGAGATCCTCACAAGAACAAAAAGGCACTTAGTCTTTCTTTGAACTGAAAGGGAATGCATGTGCAAAAGAAAAGAGGCAATTGAATGAAGGTATGAAGGAGTCAGTGAAGTAGCCAATGTGGCTGAGGTAAAAGATTGAGGAAGTCAGATATGATAGTCTAGATTATGTGCACGTGAGAGTAGCTTTAAATTTTACACCAAGAAATGTTGATTTTATCTCATAGTATCTGGGGAACCATTAAGGGAAACTTTTCTGTAAAATTACATTATATTATACTAAACTTTAATAGGATGTGTTTAAATTTCTGCTAGGTGTTAAAGGTTCATTGAAATTTTAAGTAGTAAATTTAAACCTGTTGAACTTGGATCTTGATGAGAGTTTATATTTTGTAGAGAGGTGGTTTTACCCTTTCAGGTAATTGGGGTGCCATTTTAGAGCATTTATCACTACCCTGCAAACATGTAAAATGGGTATTACTGATATTAAATGCTACTAGGAATGTAAGGCCCAGAATAATAGTCATTATCTTAAATGAAGGAAAATAATAGAAATAATTTTTCATTGGTCTCTCTTAAAAATTAACCTATCACATAGTTATACCTGCTGTATGCTCTCATTAAAAGAATATGTGTTTTACTTTTCCTAGTGATTAAAAGCACAAGGGCCCTGAACCAGAGTTTTTTGGGTTCAAATACTAGCTCTATAGTTTCCTTATCTATAAGATGGACATAACCATAGTACATACATCCCGGGTGTTGAGATTAAATGAGTTTGTGTAAGTGATGTGCTTAGAACAGTGTCTTGTGCTAGGACAGTGTCACCGGTTACTATGGTATATATGCATGGTATTAAATGTTACTGTTAAACTGATTAATTTCTGTTCTTGTGCCAGTACCATTTGTGAGGATAGGCCAATATGTGACTTGTTTTCCATTATATCTCAAATATCTATCTCCTGCTTGATATGTTAAATAGTTTTGAAATAACAAATGAATGTATGTACTGCTAATAATTTACCTATAACGAGAAACAGTATATGATAAATATTTCACTTATTCTCTTTAAACTATAAGTTTTGTATTGAATTAAAAAAAATGAAGGGACAGATTTTATATGGAAAATATACTGGCACCTTTCCAAAGCAAGGTCCTATGACATTCTATAGGTAGACTTTTAATAGAGCAATAAATTCTACACAGAGCATTTATCTTTATTTCTTTCTCTCATTAAATTTGGTCTGTGCTTGTTTTTTCTAGGGAATACAACAAGGCATTATTGAGGGAGAGTTTGCTATTTGTATTAGTTTATATCATGGATATGAATTATTGCAGCAAATGGGAATGAGATCATTATATTGCTTTCTTTGTGGAATTATGGATGGAACTAAAGGTAAATTATATTATTTAAAGGAATAATGACATGTTATTAATTTGGTTAAAGATATATTGAACATTTGGATTACTTAAAAATGCTTTATTTTAGGGGTACCTGGTGGCTCAGTTGGTGGAGCATCTGACTTTAGCTTAGGTCATTATCTCACATCTCGTGAGTTCGAGCCCCATGTTGGACTCTGCACTGACAGCCTGGAGCCTGTTTGGGATTCTGTGTCTCCCTTTCTCTCTGCCCCTCCCTCTTCTCAGGCTCCGTCTCTCTCAAAAATAAAGTTTAAAAAAAATTTTTTTTAATGTTTTATTATATTTATTTTAAATGTTTATTTGTTTGAGAGATGGGGAGTGTGAGCAGGGGAGGGACAGAGGAGAGAGAGAGAGAGAGACAGAGACAGAGACTCCCAAACAGGCTCCATGCTCAGTGCAGAGCCCAGCATGGGGTCAGTCTCACAAACTCTGAGGTCATGACCTGAGCTGAAGTCAAGAGTTGGATGCTCAACTAACTGAGCCATTCAGGTGCCCCCAAAATGTTTTATTTTAAAAAGCAGTAAAATAAAGGGTGCCTGACTCAGTTACTAGAACATGCAACTCTTGATCTTGGGGTCACGAATTCATACCCTACTTTGGGCATAGAGTTTACTTAAAAAAAAAAAAAAAACCCAAAAAGTAATGTATAGTTATGTAACAAATGACTATGTTTTTTTGTTTTTGATAAATTGGTGGTATAAAGCAAGTCATTTAATACATATGTGAATGTGGAACTGAAAACAGTTGCTGATTTTTAGGTTTAAATTAGAAAAATTTGTATTCATTGCTAAAGTTTAATTCTTTTATTTTTTATTATTTTTAAAGCTGTATATATTTATTTTTAGGGAGAGAAGGGGTGGGAAGAGACAGAGAGAGAGGGAGAGAGAATCCTAAGCAGGCTCTGTACCTTGAACACGGAGCCTGATGCAGGGCTTGAACTCATGAACCATAAGATTATGACTGAAATCAAGAGTTTGATGCTCAACTGACTGAGCCACACAGGCGCCTCTACTTTCTTTTTAATGAGTAACAAATTTGATTAATTTTGCTATTACATTTATTAATTTGGAAAATCTTTTTTAAATTTCTGAAGGAATGACTCGGGCAAAAAATGAACTTAGCCGAAATGAAGACTTCATGAAACTCTATAATCATCTAGAGTGCATGTTTGCATATACACGTGGTACTTCAACAAGTGGCTTTTCTACTATCCAAAAAGGTCTGGTTTTTCTTTTAAAACTTTATATTATTTCTCTTTATCAGATTAATTTTGAAATTTGGCTTCGTTGATCCACATGTCTAACTATAGTCACTTTTATTTCTGTAGCAACAGCTCTATTAAATACTTAAAGGTTTTATTTTTTAAGTTAGGACAAATACATATTCAAGTTTATAAACTTTAAATATATAATAGAAGCTAGTAGTTGTTTCTCATGGTGAAAATTCTCAGAAGTACCAAAAACTGATTGAATGCTTAACTGAAAACAGATTTTTCCTATATACTTTGTTGCTGCTTTCATCTGGATTCTATTTCAGAATGAAATTATAATAAAAATTCAAAGTGTATTTTATAGTAGGGCTTATGTACTACCCATATACTACTTAGTATTTAAATGAATAGAAAAAAAGTAAGTTTTAAAAAATACATTTTGAAAAGCATAATTAAATACATTAATTGATATAGAAAATACAGAATAATTTTTTGGTTTTTGTTTTGCAGGAGATAAAGATAAAAATTTTGTTTATAGTCATCCAAAGTTAAAGAAATTAGAAGAAGTTGTAGTTGAACATTTCAAGTCATGGAATAGTAAGTCATGTTTAGTAGCTTTAATGAAAGACAAAGTTCCTGAAAGAGCGAAAACTGACTCATTAGTTTGTGCTCAGATTTTATGGAGAAGATGGGCTTTTAATTACCCTGGATAATGATGTAAAAAAAAAAAGAAAGCAAGCTTTGAGAAATTTTTGGAGGGTGGGAATGCTAAGAATAAGGTATTATATGAAAAAGAAAAGTCATTCTGGGGCAATAGAAGGCAAGCAGACAGTAAAACAATATATAATAATGGGGAGAAATAAGGAGGACTTCATGAAAGGTAAGGAGGTAAGGAGATAGTCATGGAGGAGTGCTGTTTTATATAGAGTGTTAGAAAAAACCTATCTGTAAGGTAATGTTTGAGCTGATGGAGGTGAAGGAGTAAGTTGTAGATTTCTGGGTGATGATCATATTAGGCAGAGAGAACAGCAAATTCAAAGTCCCTGAGGCAATAGGGTGTTTGGCGTGATTAAGGATCAGTAAACAAACCTGTGTGCTAGAGTACTGTAAGAGTGGTGTAGGTGAGGTACCTGGGTGGCTCAGGTGGTTAAGCATCTGTCTTTAGCTCGGATCATGATCTTACGGTTGGTGAGTTTCAAGCCCTGCATTTTGCTATCAATGCAGAGCCTGCTTCAGGTCCTCTGTCCCCCTGCTCTCTCTGCCCCTCCACTGTTTATGCTTTTTCTCACTCTCTCAAATAAACATTAAAAAAAAAAAAAAAAAAAGTGGTATAGGCAAAGAGTGGAGAAGTAGCTAGAGACCAGATCATATATAGCTTATAGGCCAAGTCAAGGCTTTTTTATTCTACAAATGCTTGTGCTTTGTGAAACTGTTAGAGGGACATTTTGAGCAGTAGAGTGATGTGATCTGACTTACATTTTATTTATTTATTAAATTTTTAAAAGCAATTCTTTTTAATGTTTATTTATTTTGAGAGAGAGGACACAAGTGTGAGAGGGGCAGAGAGAGGGAGACAGAGGTTTCATAGTGGGCTCCACACTGACAGCAGAGAACCCATTGTGGGGCTTGAACTCATGAACTTGAGATCATGACCTGAGCGGAAGTCTGACACTTAATCTGACTGAGACATGCAGGTGCCCCTAATTTTATTTTTAATGTTTATGTATTAGAGAGAGTGAGAGAGCATGAGTTGGATAGGGGCAGAGAGAGGAAGACACAGAATCTGAAGCAGGGTCCAGGCTTTGAGCTGTCAGCACAGAGCCCGATGCAAAGCTCATGAACTGCGAGATCATGACTTGAGCCAAAGTCATATGCTTAACCAACTGAGCCACCCAGGTGCTCCTGACTTAGATTTTTAAAAGATCACTGTGGTAGCTTTTGCAGAGTGTAAACATTAGCTTCTTAGAAGAGTATTGTCATGTGTAAGAAAATGACAGATGATGGTGGCTGGTACCAAGATGGTAGTAGTGGAGATACTGAGTGGTTATAGATTCTAGATATACTTTGAATTTGGAGTCAACAGTATTTGCTGATAGATTGGACATAGGATATGCGGAAAAAATAATCCTATGAGTGTGTGTGTGTATGTGTATGTGAGTAATTATATGAACAAAGGAAAATTAGGAATAGCATACAGAAGAAATGCTTTTGAGATATGTAGGTAGATATATATATTTTTAATCAAAAACATTTTTTTAATGTTTTTATTTATTTCTGAGAGAGAGACAGCATGAGCAGGGGAGGGTCAGAGAGAGAGGGAGATACAGAATCTGAAGCAGACTCCAGGATCTGAGCTAGCTGTCAGCACAGAGCCCGATATGGGGCTCAAACCCACGAACTATGAGATCATGACCTAGCCGAAGTCGGACGCCACCCAGGCGCCCCTGTGGGTAGAGATATTTAAGTACTGACTAAGTGAATCGGGATCTTAGAAGAATGGTCTGGGCTATTTTTATCTCTGCATATATATGAATAAATTTTGGAGTCATTAGCATAAAGGTTATTTAAAGTTTCAGGAATGGTTATGATCATATTGCCAAGAATACTGTTTAGAGACAAGAGAAGGCCTGGAATGTAGTCCTGAAGAATACCAACTTTTAAAGTTGGAGGGGGTATCTGGCTGGCTCAGTTGGTGGATCATGTGACTCTTGATTGTGGGGTTGTGAGTTTGAGCCTTATGTTGGGCGTAGGGATTCCTTAAAGATAAAATCTTAAAAAGAAATTAGAACAAAAAACTACCACAAAGAAGGTTAAGAGAGAAACTGAACAAGTGAGTGGCAGAGAAGCTGAGGGAAGAGACTATTTCAGTGAAAAGTAGTGGACTGTGTTAAGTGCTGCTGAGAGGTATGGTAAAATGAACTAAAAAGTGACCATTGGGAGCACCTGGGTGGCTCAGTCAGTTAAGTGTCTGTTCAGGTGATGATCTTGCAGTTTGTGAGTTCGAGCCCCACATTGGGCTCTGTGCTGACAGCTCAGAGCCTGGAGCCTGCTTCAGACTCTGTGTCCCCCTCTCTTTCTGCCCCTCCCCTGCTTGCACTCTGTTTCTCTCTCTCAAAATAAATAAACATAATTTTTTTTTAAAAAGTGGCCATTGAATTTGGCAATATGGAAGTTATTGATGGATGACTTTCATAGAGCGTCTTCAGTGGAATGTAGAAGTTGGTAGCAGTTGATTAGGAGTTGGTCAGATGTAGAAGCTTGATGCTATGGTAATTCAAAGTAGGTTTATCTAGAATAATTTTCTTTGCAACAGCTGTTGCTTTTTCCTTAGGTATTGTGAATTAACTTTATATGTATTAAATCATTTAATTCTTAGAGTTGTTATGAACACTAAATGAGTTAATATATAGAATGCTTAGTGTATGGCACACACATAAAGATTGAACATAAATCATAGGAAAGAAAAGGATTATCAAAGTCCTAAGCAAGCTTAAAAGTAAATAACAATAAAAAATCCTTGTACAACGTTCAATTATTAACCAGTTGCTTTGTCCAAGTCTGTGTACTTTATATTCTATTCATTTTAGATATGAAGAAATTAAAGCTTAAAAGGATTAACTGTCATGGTGACACATAACCCAGAGAGTTAAGTGGCCCGCCCTCAAAGATTACATAATTATTCCATGTATTCTACCACCTCCCAAGCAGAGATACTGGGATCAGCTTTGTGATTTACTATAGGGTGTATTCTATAGTTAACCTCGGAGAATTTTAAACATTTTTTTTTTTTTACCATTTACTTATTTTAGAGGGAGAGAGAGCACAAGCAGAGGAAGGGCAGAGAGAGAGAGAGGGACAGAGGATCCAAATCGGCCTCTGTGCTGATAGCAGAGAGCCTGATGCAGGGCTTGAACTTACAAACTGATGAGATCCTGACCTGAGCCGAAGTCAGACATTTAACCTACTGAGCCACCCCGGTGCCCCTAACCCTGGAGAATTTAAACGTATCTTAGATTCAGGGACAAAATGCTATGGACTGGATTAAGAAAGTGCCTTTAGTGAAAAAAAGAAAAAAATATTTATGAAATCATTGGGAACTCTATAATTTTGTGATCTGACTTAGAAAGTAAAGGTGAGTAACAGGCATCATGCCTGAATTGAAGGACTGGTTAAAAGTGATTCAGGTAATTTATATTTTGATTTATTTAGGATTTTTATTTGGTCTGTTTAGGATTATTATGACAGCCAATGAGGGATTGGGATCCAAGAATATTAAAATTACTAGAGACGGTAGGAGGAAACCAGCAAAAGTTTAAGATGTTTTAAATTACTGTCTTGTAAGAATTATTATTCATTAGTATATAATTTCAGGGTTGTCTTTTGAAATGCTTCTTGTATATTGGTGTTAAAAAAAAGTTGTAATGAAAGTATTTTTTTGTTATGTAGCTCAAAACATCTCTGAAAAGAAATGTGGTGAGACCAGAGTTATGATCTTCTCTTCATTTCGAGATAGTGTTCAAGAAATTGCAGAAATGCTTTTACAGCATCAGCCCGTTATTAGAGTGATGACTTTTGTTGGCCATGCCTCAGGGAAAAGTATGAAAGGGTTTACCCAGAAGGAGCAACTGGAGGTAATTACTTTTGGAGATGAATATTAAAATAATATTGATTAGCTTGTACATATGCCTCTTTTGTTTTAACTTATTTGTCAATTAGCTACTTTTTTTTTTAAGTTTATTTATTTTGAGAGAGAGACAGAGAGAGGGAGTGCACATGAGATGGGGAGAGGCAGAGAGAGAGAGGGAGAGGGAGAGAGTCCATGCTATCAGTGCAGAACCCGGCATAGAGCTCCATCCCTTGAACTGTGAGATCATGACCTGAACCGAAATCAAGAGTTCGACACTCAACCAACTGAACCACCCAGGGGCCCCTCAATCAGCTACTTCTTAAAGATAATTTTATAGTAAACATGTAAATAAACCTAGGCATATTTTGAAAGATCAAAAAAGTGTTTTTTGTGGTTATGAGACTTTACTCAAGCAGGGTAATGTATTGTGGTTAAGCAGAAAGGCTCTGAAATCATATTACCTCAGTTGGAATCCTGGCCCTACCACTTACAGGTCCCGTGACTTGTGCTGCAATTTTCCTTATCTGTAAACATAGTTCATAGAGTTGTTGTAAGCATTAAATTATTTTAAGCATTATTTTAAGTCACTTTAGTTACAAATTCTGAACAGTGAGCTTATTTCTTTTTTCTATTATTTAAAATTTTTTTTTTCTTAGATTTTATTTTTAAGAAATTCCTACACCCAGTGTGGGCCTCAGACTCACAGCCCTGAGATCACAGCCCTGAGACGATACTTTTAAAATAAGATACACATTGTGAACAAATAGCTTATTTCTTTTTTCTATTATTTAAAAATCTTTTTTTCTTAGATTTTATTTTTAAGAAATTCCTATACCCAGTGTGGGCCTCAGACTCACAGCCCTGAGATCACAGCCCTGAGACGATACTTTTAAAATAAGATTTTTAAATAATAGGGCACCTGGCTGGTTCAGGAGTCACACATTCCACTGACTGAGCCAGCCAAGCACCCCAAGATAGATTTTTTTAAAATTAAAATTTTCTTTCTTTTAATTTTTTTTTTTTTTTTAAATTTCTGAGAGAGAGAGGGAGAGAGAGAGAGAGAGCATGAGCAGGGGAGGGTCAGAGAGACAGGGAGATACAGAATCTGAAACAGGCTCCAGGCTCTGAGCTGGCAGTCAGCACAGAGCCCGACGCAGGGCTCGAACCCACAAACTGTGAGATCATGACCTGATCCAAAGTCAGATGCTTAACCAACTGAGCCACCCAGGTGCCCCTAATGTTCATTATTTTTGAGAGAGAGAGGGAGAGAGAGCACACACACATGTGCAAGTGAGGAGGGATCAGAGAGTGAGAGGGAGACACAGAATTGGAAGCTGCTCCAGGCTCTGAGCTGTCAGCAATGAGCCCAGCGCAGGCCTCAAACTCACAGACTGCGAGATCATGACCTGAGCTGAAGTTGACCATTTAACTGACTGAGCCACCCAGGTGCTCCAATTTTTATTTATTTCTTAAATAATCTCTACACCCAACATGGACTCAAACTCACAACCCTGAGATCAAATGTCACATGTTCACAGACTGAACCAGCCAGGTGCCCTATTATTTAAAAATCTTAATTTAAAAATATGGTCAGAGGAAAACATTTGGGCTCTGAATAAGAGGTCATAAGTTTTCTAAGTGCTATGTATGTGTTTTTGGGACATTTTAGACTATTGGTTTTTATAAACTGTATACAGGTTTTTGCAGATTAGCTATAGGTCTACATTTGAGTAGTCATTGACAATTAGGTGTGTCTTTAATGTCTAATTAATTTTGACAGATCTTTTCTTGAATTTGTAAACATTAGTTAGAAGAGAAATACTATACTTTAAATACCTTTTATACTAGTCCTTACTGCACTCAGCAGAGTCTATTTAAGCTGACTGGATCTGTGGGGATAGTCTAAGAGATTTTCCTGAGTCTGAAAGAGAATAACTTTACCTTTCTCAAGTCTGATTATATGTATTTTAAAAGGTTCAGATATCTAGCAAGTTATTATTTCTACTCTTAACATTGAGTATGTTGTGGTATATTCCCTGTAAACTTACATTGTTGAGGGTTTTTATCATGAATGGACGTTGTACTTTGTCAGATGTCTTTTCTGCATCTGTTGAAAAGATCATATGGTTCTTATCCTTTCTTTTATTTTTTATTTTTTTATTTATTTATTTTTTAAAGTTTTATTTATTTCTAGGAGAGAGAGAGAGACAGAGAGACAGAGAGACACAGCGTGAGCAGGGGAGGGTCAGAGAGAGAGGGAGTCATAGACTCTGAAACAGGCTTCAGGCTCCGAGCTGGCAGTCAGCACAGAGCCCGACGCGGGGCTCGAACCCACGAACCACGAGATCATGACCTAAGCGAAAGTCGGACGCTTAACTGACTAAGCCACCGAGGCGCCCCTATCCTTTCTTTTATTAATGTGCTTTATTATGACGATTGATTTGTGAATGTTGAATCACTCTTGGAGCCCAGGAGTAAATCCCACGTGATGATTCTTTTAATGCATTTTTGATTTGGTTTGCTGATATTTTGTTGAGATATTTTGCATCCATATTCATCAAGGATATTGGCCTGTAGTTCTCTTTTTTAGTGGAATCTTTATCTGGTTTTGGTGTCAGGGTAATGCTGGCCTCATAGAATGAATTTGGAAGTTTTCTTTCTTTTTTTTTGGAATACTTTGAGAAGAATAGGTATTAACTCTTCTTTAAATGTTTGGTAGAATTTGTCTGTGAAGCCATCTGGCCCTGGAGTTTTCTATCTTGGGAGATTTTTGATTACTGATACAATTTCTTTGCTAGCTATCAGTCTGTTCAAGTTTTCTATGTCTTCTTGTTTCCACTTTGGTAGTTAATATGTTTCTAGGAATTTATCCATTTCTTCCAGGTTATCCAAATTGTTCACATATAGTTTTTCATAGTTTTCTCTTATAATTGTACTTTTGTAATGTTAGTTGTTATTTCTCCTCTCTGATGTGCAATTTTTAAAATTTGGGTCCTTTTCTCTTTCCTTTCTGATAAATCTGGCTAGAGTTTTATCAACTCTATTGATTTTTTCAAAGATATCA